TCTATCTTGATGGTGAGGTGAGAAGAAATGAGAACAAATATTTTTTTTCTTGAGTGGTTTGATTTCTTTTCTTTTAAAAGAGTCTACCAATCACACACCTAAGTTGTTTAGGTGATTTTTGTAACCCAACGGTCAAGTGCCTAAATTCACAAAAATCGGTAAAAACTAACTCCCACGGTTGAAAAAAAAGTGTCCAAATTCACAAGGATCGGTAAGTTTGGTCTTGGCGAGTGATCAAAACTGGTGCATGACTAATCTTAATCGTGACTCGTGAGCCCGAAACTCAAGACCACTATACCAAAACCACAAGGGGTATATAGAGTTTTTGTTTAAAATGACCATAACATATAGTTATTAGGTCCATTCCTTAGCTCCCCTTTATATATTTGTATAGAAACCCAATTCAAATTCATAAAAGCAACAGAAACAAAAACCGTTTAAATTGAGACATAGAGTCATACTTCATAAGTAAGAAAAGCAGCAAAAGAGTTACCGAAATAAGTCTAAAAATACAATTGCCTACATTGCGAAGCATCTATATCCGATGGACAATAAGGACACTTGAAGGACTTTGATCCATTCTTCGACATTCTGTTGATTGACTGCTTGCAAAGGACATGACCGCAACACAATCTCATCGGAGGGTTATCTTCTCTAGACTGTTCTTTGGTTACGGGACAGACAAATACCGAGTGGAACTGAAACTCTTCAGAGAGTTCCACAGGTATAGGAAGTTGCTCCATTGTTTGCCACTCTTGTTTCTTATTAACCATCAGGTTCATGTATTTCAGTAACGGCGGTAAAGCTTGTGAACCCGCTGCAACTGTTACGCTTAACGGGCTCTCTGGTGATTCACCGAGTAGGTTGCAGTATTGTCGGGTAAGTTCCTTGACTGCTTTGGTCCATAATGTGGGTGAGAGGAACCCTGCGTATGGAGATTTATCGAGGTTTCCATTCCATAAGAGAGAGCACATGAGTTTCTGGAGACCTCTATCTGAATATATAGGGATGTGCTTTCTCGCGTAGTTGACAGCATCTAAAGATTTCTTGTCTTGTGCTATTTTCAGGAAGTGAAGGCTGTGAAGTTTCATCTCGAGATCTGAGTTTGCTTGCTCTAGCTTGTCCGAGTTTGAGGCTGCCCAGTTAAGAGCTGGTCCAAGATCTCGTCTTTTCAGCGCTTTTAGTATAAGATACATTTCCATGAATGATTCTCTAGCAGAAGATTCAGGCTCACCAGTCTCGGAAATGAAACAGTCGCCGATGTCGAACAAGCCTTGCCCGTAGAAAAAACTAGCTATTATCTGGTGAACCGTATGGAGATCAAACTCGACGTTTCTGTAAGCCTTTGATATGTCCGAATTCAGAGTTTTCTCCAGAACTTTCGGGTATTTGCTCAGAGCAACGTTTAGTTCTTTATGAGCGGCTTCAAGTTGATTGCTTGGAGCAATCTCCTGAACCGTTTTCTTCAGGTCAGAGACTAAAGATTTATGAAGGAGCGGATTATCTGTGTCTGTAGTAGGTTCCTGTATCGCGTTCAACGCCTTCTCGATTTCTCGAGACAGCCTATCTACGGTTTCTTGAGTTTTGCTACAGGAAAGTTTCTGCTTTTTAGCAACACGATCAAATGCATCTTTGACGGTCTTTACCTCCATTCTCGGATAATAAACCACTCAGGGAATCTGTGAATTACACAACCTGACAGGACAAAGAGAAACACACACAACAATCAACGAGAATCTCCACAACCAAATAACAGGACAAAGATGATTCTTACAATGAAGCTAATCAACAAAGAGAACATTAATAATCATATTATCCAAAATCATATCATCACCATCATTGGCTTCGCATTGTCGAAATTCAAACTCCATCAACCCATGATTTTAAGAGATGGGCTTAAAATCCAAATCGATTCTTTCACATCAGAGACTATTAATTTCAAGTTTTCATAGTATAGTAGCAGAGATCAATGAACCCAATACATGACATAAAATAGAACATCAAAGATTCATATTTTGGTCAATCCAACCATATGATCCTGGAATCGACAGATCAGAACACGGATTCAGATGTCAAACAATCCAGAGAGTGAAATTTACCAAATCAGGCTGATGATTCGCGAATCGGAAACCGTCGATGAAGCGCCCAAAATCCAAAGCGAAGTAGTAATCCGTGGAGAGTCAGAGACTTACACACGCATCTAATAATATATGTTCACTGCCACAATCGATGGAGATTATCGCCGGATCAGAGAAGACGAATCGGTTAGGGTACTCGTCGGAAGAACACAAGAGGAATTTCAGATTTCGATTTCTTCTTTTGGACTCTCTCTCTCTCGCGAGAAACCTTCACATTATTGTTCGTGATGTTGAAGATGAATCTCAACCGTTGGATTGATCGGTTATTTGGGCCATAAATATTGTGTTTTTTTTAACGTGGGCTTAAAAAAAAAAACAATAGAAATTTTATAAAAATATCATACTTTTCAAATCTTTATAAAAATACCACT